TGTAAAGCAATCGTTGGCAAGATTGCGGAACGGCCCTCCTGGACGTCAGGGGGGTCAGGGAGGCAGGGAGGAAGGAGGAGGATGACCGAGATGGGAGGAGGAGATCGAGGAGGACTCGTCGACCCTCGCTGACACAACGCAGGGCCAGGACAAACAGTGCCTGCTGACTACATCTTTCTCCTACATTCATAAGCAAATAATGCTGCAGTTGTCCTGTAGGGTGCTACCGTAAATAATTACTATCGGCGGGCACGCTGCAGCTGCGAGGAAGCTGGCGCTCACGACGCCAGGAGCAGGAATTTGTGTGTTTGGGGGCTCGGGAAGAAAGAAGGGATTAGAAAGGAATGTGATAAGGAAATCCCGGCGTTTAAAAAGAAGTTCGTGTGGTATAGGTTCAGGAAGGAAAATAGTTAGAACGGACAGTGAGAAGGAATTTCCTGAGTTTCAATGGGGTTTCGTTGTTTTGTGGTTCAGGTTAGAAAAGAAGTGTAAACATTATTCCCTGTGATAAAACGGAATTTCGTGCTTTGGAGGTTCAGGAAGGAAACAAGGAGTTAGAAAGGAATGTGTCAAGGAATTTCCTGGCTTAGAACAGGATACCGTTTGTTTCTGCGGCTCAGGAAGGAGACAATGGGTTAGAAGAAAATGTGATGAGGAATTTCCTGATCTAAATATGTTTTCTGTTGTGGTAAAAGAAGCAAGAAAGAGTTAAACAAGAACGTATAAAACAAAGCATCTCCTGAATTAGTAAGGGACTTCGTTTCTTTGTGGTGAGGGAAACAAAAACGAATTAGTAGAGACTGACCTAAGGAATTTCCGCTACTAGAAAGGAATTGGGTGTTTCTGTTTTACAGGAAGAAATGGTGATTAGACAGGAGTTCGGTAAGCAATTGCCTGAATTAGGAAGGAATTTTGTTGTTGTGTGGTTCAGGATAAAAGAAAGGAGTTCGGGAGAGAAACAAGGAGTTAGACAGGAATGCGATGAGGGATTTCCCGAGTTAGAAAGGAATGTATTTCTTTTATGAGTCAGAAAGGAATGTGGTAAGGAATTTCTTGGGTTGGAAAGTGATTTCGCTTGTTGTGGCTAGGGAAGGAAAAAAAGAGTTAGACAGGAATGCGTTCAGGTATCATCTGGATTAGAAAGGCATGTTGTTTCGTGTGGTTCGGGAAGGAAAACAGGAATTGGAAAGGAATGTGATCAGGGACCCCCAGGGTTAAAAAGGAGTGTGATAAGGGACCCCCAGGGTTATAAAGGAAGGTGATAAGGATTTTCATGAATTGGAAAAGAAGTTTGTTCGAAAGGCGTGCAGTAAGGAATTTCCTGAGTTAGAGAAGAATTTCGTTCGAAAGGAATGTGAAAAATCCTGAGTTTTGAATTGAGTTTTGTGGCTGAGAAAGGAAAACATGGACTAAAAAAGACATGTGCTAAGGAATTCCATTGCATTAAAACGAATATGTGTGTTTCTGTCGTCCAGGACGAAAAAACAGTTAGAAAATAATGTGGTCATGAATTGCCTGAAATGAAACAGAATGTGGTTTTGTGATTCAGGGAAGAAAACAAAAAATAGAAACTACTTTGGTAACACAGTTCCCAGCTTTGAACGGAATTTAATTGTGTTGCGGCTCGGAAAAAAAAGAACGAGAAGTGATAACGGCATGTGATGAGAAATTTCCGGTGTTAGAATTGAGTTTCGTTTTCGTTTTTCGGGAAGGGAAACAAGGAGTTATAAAGGAAAGCGTAAAGGAATTCCCTGAATGTGAATGGGATTTCGTTGTTCTGTGATTCGGGAAGGAATGGAACTAGTTAGACAGGAATGTGATCAAGAATTTCCTGGCTTAGAAAAGAACCTCGTTGATTGGGGTTCAAAAAAAGGAGTTAGACCGGAATTCAAAAGGGAAAACCCTCTGTTTGAGAGAAATTTCGTTTGTTTGGGGTTCAGGACGGGAAAGGAAGAATACATACAGAATTGTGAACAGGAAATTCTAAAGTTAGAAAGGAATTTAGTTGTCGCGTGGTCCAAAAAAAGGCCAGGAAGTAGAAAGGAATGTGATGAGAAATTTCCAAGGGGTTAGAAAGGAAGTCTGGTGTGTGGCCCAGGAAGGGAACAAGCAAGAGTTTGAAAGAAATGCGATAAGGACTTTTATGAATTAGAACTGGATTTCGCTTTTTCGGGTTCAGGAAAGAAAACGGAGTTTGAAAGGATTCGCGCAGCGAATTGAAAGGACTGCAAGAAGGAACTTCGCAAAGTAGCAAGGAATGTCGGTGTTTGTGGTACAGGAAGGAAAAAAGGAAGTTCGAAAGGAATCTGCTAAGGAATGTGATTGGGAATTCCCTGGGCCAGAACAAGATTTCCTGTGGGTCAGGAAAGCAAACAGGAGTTAGGAAGGAATGTGAAAAGGAATTCCCTGAATTAGAAAGGACTTTCGTTTTCTTACTGCTTCAGGATGAAGAAAAAAAGGAGTCCGAAGGAAGGTGGTAGTGAAATTACTGAGTTCGAAAGGGATATTATGTTTCTTGTGCATCAGGGGAAAGAAAAGAGGTAGACAAGCATATGATAAGGTTCCTGCGTTTGAAAGAAATTCCATTAATTTTACGGTTCACGGGATAGGAAAACTGAGTTAGAACAGAATGTGATCAGGAATTTCCTGCGTTTGGACATGAGATCGTCTGTGTGGCCCAGGAAAAAAAAAACATAAGTTAGAAAGGAATGTGATTAGGAATTCCCTGAGTTAGAAAAGAATTGTGTTATGTTATCTGTGGTTCGGGAAGGAATCAGAAAGCTAGAAAGGAATATGACAAGAAATGTGATAAGGAATTTCCTGGGTTAGAGCCAGATGTTCGCTTGAAAGAAAAAATGAAGCAGGAAGGAATGTGATAAGGAATTTCCGGGGTTAAAAAGGAATTTCGTTGTTGAGTGGTTCACGAGGAAAAAAGGAATCCAAAAGGAACGTGGCAGGGAAATTCCTGAATTAGAAAAGAAATTAAATTTGCGTTGTGCTCCAGGCGGAGAAACGAGTTAGACAGGAATTTGACAAGGAATTCCCTGAGTTAGAATGGTGTTCAATTGTTGTATGGTTCAAGAAAGCGAGAAAAAGAAATTAAAAAGGGATGGAACCAGGAACTTCTTATTTTTTAACTTTTTAAACAATAAAAAAAACCGTTGTCTGGCGGTTCAGGAATGAAAAAGAAAGTTCGACAATAACATGGTAATAACGTCAAACATGCGTTTTGCTTCCGGAGCCCAAAAAAGGAGCTTCCTTTTCTAACCTATGACTGTGTTTATCCACCTCCACTATAACTCTTGTTTTCCTTCCGAACCACAATAAAAGGCATTCTCTTCTAACTCAAGAGTGTCCTCCAAATTTCTTGCCTGACTTTTGTTTCCTTCCTGAACCACAGGGAAAAAAGTCCCCTCTAGCTCTGGAAATGCCTTACCAAGATTATGTTTGTTACTGTTCCTTCCTGAAACACAGAAATCACACATTCCTTTCTAACGCAGGGAATGTCTTATCAACTTCCTGTCTAACTCCTTGTTTCCATCCCGGACCACAAAGCAAAAGTAACACATTCATTTCTAACTCTGGAGATTCCTGATCACATTCCTGTCGAAACCTTTTTTTCCTTGAACCCCCCAAGAAACGGAATACCGTTAGAACTCCCGAATTGCCCTATCACATCCCTGTCGGAATTATTTTTCTTCCTGAAACACAAAACAAACTTCCTTTTTCTAACCCAGGTTGTTACTTATCACATTCCTTTATAACTCCTCTTTCCCTTCCTGACCAACCAAAAGATGGACATTCCTTTCTACATCTGGAAATTCCTATCGCATTCCTTTCTGGCCCCGTTTTGCATTATTCCTGTAACTAACACAAGAAAGCGCAATTCCTTTCTAACAAGAAATTCCTGCCCAAATCCCGTTCGAAGTCCTCCCTCCTGAACCACAAAAGAACGAACTTGCTACCCAACTGCGGAGATTCCCTCTTCCATTCCTTTCTTTCCTTCCTTAACAAGAAGAAACAAAATTCCTTTCCAACTCCTGTAATTCCTTAATCGATTCCTGTATAACCTTTTTTTTGACCATCCTGAACTATAAAAAGGAATTCTTTTCTAATTCGGGAAATTCCTGTCACATTCATCTCTAACTCCCTGTTTCCCGACGTCGAAAGAAAAACATATCTAACTCCGGAAATTCCTCACCACATTCCTTTTCGAACTCCTGATTGTTCCATCCTGGCCCAGACATCGTGGCGTCGGACAAAAAAAACATATATATATATATATATATATATATATATATATAGATGTAGATATCGAGAGAGATATAAATGCCGTTCTAACTCTGAAGATTCCTTTTCAATTCCCGGATGAATTCCTGTTGCCTTCCTGAACCACAAAACAAGCCATTATTTTCTAAGCCTGGAAATGCCGTATAACATTTCGTTATGACTGCGTTGTGTCTTCCTTGCCCAAAACTCGTGGAATCCAAAAAAAAACTTATCTAACTCTGGAACTCTGGAACTTCCCTGTCAAATCAATTCAGTCTCTGTTGTTTTTCCTTCCGGGCCCAGACCTCCTGGCATCGGGAAAAAAAGGAAAGCGAAGTTCCTCTCGAACTCTGGAAAATTCCTTACCAGTCCTGTCTAACTCCTTCTTTTTCCGGACGCCGCACGCATTGAGGCACTGCTCCCCGAGGGGGGGCAGAACCATGCGGCGGGGCCACAGCGAGCGAAGAGCGTAAACTGATAGGCTGGCCACCTGTGTGTATAGGGATACGACCGAGGAGTCGATCCGATTCGTATGTCCGTAGGAAAAGGTCAGAGGGGAAGAGATTCGCTACTCCTTTTCCCAAGGCGGTGCGCGGAGAGCAGCGCGGTATGTATACCGATACCTGAGTCGATACGTCAGCGGTATATGACGGTATAATGGTGATATGAGCGGACTTCACACACACACACACACACACACACACTTCATGAACCACCATAATACGAAAATCCTTCCCGAGTCTAGAAAATCCGTATCACATTCCTGTGTGATTCCTGTTTGCCTTCCTGGCCCAGACCTCGCGTCGTCAAACAAAAAAATCCTTGCCACATTCATGTATGACTCCTTTTGTTCCTTCCTGGCCCATACCTCCTGGCGTCGCTGTTGAAACACATGTTTAAGGTAGACAACATGAGGTTCTAATTATCCAAATGTCACTTCGAACTCCTTCCTGGTTCCGTGTTCAACCTTCCCGGCCCAGACCTCCTGGCGCTTCAAAGAAACAAAAAGAAATAAGAAACAACAAAAAAAACGACCCCCCTCTAACTCTTGGTATCCCTTATCACATTCCTTTCTAAACCTATTCTTCCCTTCTGGCCCAGACCTCCTGGCGTCCTGAACAAACGCAAGAAGAAAGAAGCTCCTTTCTAACCCAGGAAAGCCATACCACATTCCTTTGCCTAACTCCTTATTTCTCTCCTGTCCCAGACCTCCTGGCGTCGTCGTTTATGTATACACAAAGAACGAGATTCCTATCTAACTATGGCAATGCCTGGCCAAGTTCCTTTCTGAGTCCTTGTTTCCTTCTTAGTCCAGACCTCTGGGCGGTCAAGAAAAATAAGGAATTAGTTTCTAAGTCTGAAGGTTCCTTATACCATCCCTTTCTAGTTCCTTGTTTCCTTCCTGGCCCAGATCTCCTGGCGTCGTCAAGAAACGAACTTGTTTTCTAACTCAGGAAAGTCCTTGCCAAATTCAAATTCGAACTCCTTTTTGCCTTCCTGGCTCAGACCTCTTGGCGTCGTAAACGAAACAACGAAAGTCTCTTTTAACTCAGGCAACTACTTATCGCATTCCTTTCAAAATCATGATCTTCTTTCTGGCCCAGACCTCCCAGCGCTGTGCAACAGAAAAACTACAAAAAACTAAAGAAAGAAACGACATTCTGTCTTAACTCTGGAAATTCCTTACCGAAATCCTGTCTAACGTTGTCCTTCCTGGCCCAGGCCTCCTGGCGTCGTCAACAAGAAAACGAACTTTCGTGCTAACTCTGGATATTCCTTATCGCATGCCTTTCTAACTCCTGGTTTTCCTTCCTGGCCCAGACCTCCTGGCGTCGTCACCAAACAAAAACAAAAGTATTGTCTAACCCTGGTAATTCCTCACCAACTTCCTTTCTACTCCTTGTTTCCTTCCTGGCCAAGACCTCCTGGGTCCGTAAAAAAACAAAATTCCTTGACTCAGGAAATTCCATATCGAATTTCTTTCTAACTCTGTTTTTCCTTCCTGGCCCACACGTCCGTAGAAAAAAAAAAAAAAAAAAACATTCCTTTCTAAAACTGACAACTCCTTACCAAATGTCTTTCTAACTGATTTCTGTTTCTTCCTGACCCAGACCTCCTGGCGTCGTTTTAACAAGAAGCTCCGTTTCAACTATGGCAATTCCTTATTCCATTCCTTTATCAGAGTGAGGGGGCCGAACGGTCATTCACTGTCCCTGGGTGCGTGGCTGAAGTGGGATTCCGCGGTGCGGATTCGTTGTTGTTGTTGTTGTTGTTGTTGTTTGTTGTTGTTGTTGTTTGTTGTCGTCGTCCCACCCGCAACCCGCCCCGCGACCCACCCGCGACCCACCCCGCGACCCACCCGCGACCCACCCGCGACCCACCCGCGACCCGCGACCCACCCCGCGACCCACCCCGCGACCCACCCCGCGACCCACCCGACCCACCCCCGCGACCCACCCACCCCGCGACCCACCCGCGACCGCGACCCCCGCGACCCACCCGCGACCCACCCCGCGACCCGCCCGCGGCCCACCCCGCGACCCACCCGCGACCCACCCGCGACCCACCCGCGACCCACCCGCGACCCACCCGCGACCCACCCCGCGACCCACCCGCGACCCACCTTCGACCCAAACCACGTTCAAGGTACAAACCAACATTTTCGGCGCCTGCGGCGGGCTTTTTTTGCATTCCTTCCAGGTGGAGAGCCCGCGACCCACCCCGCGACCAACTCGCGACCAACCCGCGACCCAAACCACGTTCAGGGTACAAACCACATTTTTCGGCGCCTGCGGCGGGCATCTTTTGCATTCGTTCTAGGTGGAGAGACCGCAGCCCACCCGCGACCACGTTCAGGGTACAAACCAATTTTTTCGGCGCCTGCGGCGGGCATCTTTTGCATTCGTTCCCGGTGAACAATCCGCGGCCCACCCGCGACCCAAACCACGTTCAGTGTACAAACCAAATTTTTCGGCGCCTGCGGCGGGCTGCTTTTGCAGGAGGAGGTGGAGGAGGAGGAGGAGGAGGAGGAGGAGGAAGAAGAGGAGGAGGAGGAGGGGGAGGAGGAAGGAGACGACGACGACGACGACGACGTCTACGACGACGACGACGAAAAGGAGGAGGGGGGAGGATCGGGAGGGGGGGAAGTGGAGGACGACGACGAGGAACATGACGACAATGGGAGGACGATGATGGAAGGACGAGGGGGGGAGAGGGAGGACGAGGAAGAAGAGGAGGAGGAGGAGGAGAAGGACAAGGTGGAGGAGGAGGACGACGATGACAATGAGGACGAGGACGAGGACGAGGACGAGGAAGAGGAGGAGGAGGAGGAGGCGGAGGAGGATGAGGAGGAGGAGGAGGAAGGCGCCATCGACAGGGAAGGTGGGGGCCACGAGGTCCGCCGGCTTGACGACGCCCGCGTCGCCCGCGCCCGCCCCCTCACTCTTATCCGCAATTGCGGGGTGCTACGTACCTTCTTTTTTCCGTTCCTAGCCAAGACCGCTGCAGTATTAATTCCCGGCACATGTCACTTGTTGCTGTACTTGCATACAGCGCACGCTACAGCAAATAATTCCTAAACCAATTAACGTTGTACTGTAGCCAAAAAAGTACTATAGTACTCTCGCACGTACACACACACACACCGTATCTGAGGGGGGAAGCCTCGAGCTGGAATCGGCGATGCATCGCCGATGGATCGGCGAGAGGCCCACGACAGCGAATCTGGACGCTCCTGGTCGGGGTGGGCTATCGTATCCCTGCCAGCGATGAATGTGCGATGCGTCCCCCCCTGAGCCTGCCCCCCCTAACGTTGCCCCTGCTCCTGGAGAGCGCCGGGATGGGGGTTCAGACTGCAGCGGTCTCATGCCGCGATGGCGTCGGCGTTGGTCCCTGACACGGCGCGGATCTTTCAATCGTGACCCATCGTGGCTGTCCGACAGCGCAGATCGTCCGACATCGCCAGATTGCAGGCAGTTGGCGGCCTGAAACCATGAACGCCCGCGCTGGGGTCGTCGCCGCGCCCACACGGCGTGGACGGGGTCGGAGGGTCACACCGCATCGCTGGTTCACTGGCGACGCATCGACAGCGGCGGGACTGGGAAAGCCTGGCCCCAGATCGCACAACATCGCCGGCGCACGGGCGATGCGGCGCGGCCCTCGGGGATCTCCTGACCCGGGTCAGTCAGTCAGGCCTTGCAGGATTCTGCAAGATCCTGCAGGTCCTGCACCCAAACGCGGGTCAGTGCGCCCCTGGCCCTGCAGGGTCCTGCAAGATCCGGCGCTTTGACTGACCCCCGTTTGCATTGACCCCCATCCCGTGAGCCCCGAGGCCCTCCGACCCCACCTGCTCCGGCCCCGGTTGGGCGGCCCGGAGGTCCTGGGCACGAACTCCGTGCGGCCGTTGTCAACCAGCTGGCGCCAGCGCGCCTGCGGCTTGGCGAGGTGCCGCCCGGCCTCCACGTACTTGTTACCGCCGCGGCCCGCGGAGGCCTCACTGGGCGCAGCTCCCTGGTCCGTGGCGGCCGCCTCTGGCGCCGCGGGCTCCGTCAGCGCCTCCTTCAGGCAGTCGTCCACGCGCTCGAGGACGCTGTCGATGCTGTCCACCAGGAGGTTGAAGTTGTCGAGGTCCTTTGCACCGCCAGGGAGTATCCACGTCCACGACTGCTGGAGTTCCACCCTGGATCCCTGGGAAAGGGTGGATCTGGATGACTACTCCGAGTTTCTTAATATGCGTCGGGGGGGCGTCACCCCCGCCGACAGCCCCACATCGACCCCCGTCGCGGGCAGCCACCGCGCGCCGAAGGCGCTCCGACCCCTGTCGCGGCGCGACGACGAGGCGAGGTTGACCCCTGTCGGAGAGTACCCTCTCACGCTTATTTCGAAACCCAGAGTACTCTCCCACCAGCAGGGGCTGGCAGATGTCCGTATCCACCACTCCCCGAGAGGTCCTCGGAATCCCAGAGCACGACCCCGAGACGGTGAGTATTGACATGCTCGGGTGGCGGATCCTTGGCCGAGGTGTCCCTGTGCGCGGAGGGGTCCAGGAAGCGCAGCGCCGCGTGCGCAAGGCCCAGGGACCTGTCTCCGAGCTCGCGGGAGCCCTGCAGGAACTCGGTGGAGCCCCTCCGTATGGCGTACTCCTCCCCGACGGAGACGGAGACGGAGGCGGAGGAGGAGGAGGAGGAGGAGGAGAAGGAGGAGGAGGGAGGAGGAGGAAGGAGGAGGAGGAAGGAGGAGGAGGGAGGAGGAGGAGGAGTAGGAGCAGGAGGAGCAGGAGAAAGTAGGGACTCCTCCCCCACGGGCAGGCGCCTGCACGTGCGCACGAGCTCCACCACCTGCGGGAGCAGCTGCCCCAGGAAGCGCGGGCTCTCGACCCCCAGCTCGCGGTGCAGCGCCTCGTCCACGGCCGTGCTGTTCTGCATCGCTGAGGGCGGCGCCGCGGCGAAGCGATGCCCGCCCCGACACTGGCGTCAGGCCAGGTCAGGCGGGCATCGGCTGACTCGGCGGGCGCGGCCCGCGGGCCCTGGGCGGGCCCCCGCAGCGGACCCCCCGCCCCCAGCGGCCTCACCCCTCCTCCTGCCTGGCTCGGGCCGAGCGGAATCAGGGGGAGGAGAGGATGAAGAGGAGGAAGGAGGGAGAGGGAGAGGGAGAGGGAGAGAGAGGGAGGGAGAAGGAGAGAGAGGGAGAGGGAGGAGTAAGAGGAGAACAGAGAATAATAGAAGAAGAAGAAGAAGAGGAAGGAGGAAGAAGGGAAGGGAAGGGAAGGGAAGGGAAGGGAAGGGAAGGACAAGGAAAAGGGAGGGATGGGATGGGAAGGGAAAAAGAAGAGAAGGACGAGGAGGGGAAGGCAAGGGACGGGACGGGACGGGCGTGGCAGGCAAGGGAAGGAGTAGGAGGAGGAGGAGGAGGAGGAGGAGGAGGAGGAGGAGGAGGAGGAGGAGGAGGAGGAGAGTGCCGGCCCCGCGGGAGACCAGCGGCGTGCAGCCGAGTTGCCCCCGCGCTGCCCGCGGACGCCCCGCCGCGCGTGGCGCGCCCGCTCGGCGCGCAGAGAGGGGCCGTCGGGGCCTCGAGAGCTCGCGCTCACAGCCGCCTTCCCGCCCCTCGCTGCCTCGGGGGCAGGCCGCCGCTGCCAGGGACCGAGGGGGCACCGCCGCGTCGACCCTGCCCGCGGAAAGTGCGCAGCGAAAACGCGGAGGCAAGGACGGGTCGTAAGGAGGCGAGACCCTTGGAGGCCGAAGTCTGGGATTTGCGGGGCGGCGGCCTGAGAGGCTGGCCAGTGGAAGCGGCAAGGGACGGGCCGCAGAGGCAAGGAGACAAGGGTACCCCAGACAAGGCGCGCGTCCTTATTATGCGCTTTGACTGCGTCCTCTTCATGAGACTGCAGAGGAAACTGTTTCTGCCGCGGCTACAAGATGGGCGAGGGCCTCGCGTCCACTTGCAGTTTCCCAGCTGTCCCCGACGGCCCCATCTGAGCGCATAGAGGCCGATCGACCCCTGAAAGGCAAACGCCTCGGTACCAGGCACGGCGACCACTTCTCCCGGCAGTCTCGTGCCCGCCTGCGGGTGCCGACAGTCAAACAGGTCCTTCCGTGGGGTCTTGGCATCGTGATTCCAGGGGTCGTTCGGACAGTCGAAAGTGAGCCTGGTAACTCAAATAGCATCCGATTCCATGATAGACATCGGATGGCAAATAGCGTCCATCGCTCTGCTGTGATAGTACAGTATGAGGGGTGGGCGGATAAGATAGGATAAGATCGATGTAATGATCTTTCCATCACATAGCGAACACTCGCGGTGTCCGGGCAAATAGGGCGCGCGTGCCTTGGGCCAAAGGCAACGGCGCGCGCGAGCTATGCTCCCGATACTATAACATCTCCCAAAGACCTACCCTTAAAGTCGGGAGGGGAGGAGACGGAGAGCATAGTCGCACGCAAAGGTCGCGCGCACGACTGTTTGCAAAAAAGAAAACAGTGCGTACAGTCTGGCCTAACACCAGACTGCAAGGTGAGTTTCCTCGCAAAGTATTTCACGCCAATACAAGACAGCCCCTTCAAACAATGAAAGGCTATCGGCTCAGTTAGAGGTAAGCCAAAAAGGCCATACCTCACCAAGCAAATGTGTATTAAGGCAAAGAGCCTGAGTTGTACGAAGCCGGCTCGTTGCCAGGCGTGAAATATAAGGCTCGTTTCCGAGCAACTAGAGGGGCGCCTTTATAGTAGGCGCCCGTGCTGGCAAATTGGACCGCGAGGGCAACAAGGACAGACTAAAATTGATTAGACTTAGGTTTGTCTCTGTCCTCGGGACCCCGAAAGGGAACAAATTGCTTCACGTCATACTTAAATGACTGAGTGCCTGACATCACTTCCAGAAGCAGCTCCCGATCGATGCTTCCCTTTGTATGCCCATCTGCGGTCATATCCCTAGTATCACACCATTGCACATTATGTACTATACCTATATCCATGAGCTCACGTATCCAGCTGATATGTCCAAGCAGAGTCCGTTCTGTAGGTATTTTGAGATCCCTGCTTGATAAAGATTTGTAGACGGACTCGGCGTCTATGGTAAGAGAGACTTTGATAGCTAGGCCTCCAACTTCACGCATGTCTCGTAGTTGTCGTGGAGTCAAAGCTCCTGCCTTAAGCTCGTGGAGAGTAATGAGCGTAGGGTAACACTCATCAAGGTTATGTGCGGCTGCAAGTGCCTCCGCAGCATAACTGGACCTCACCTGTAATCGGTGTGATTTGCATAGTCCGTCACAGAGGTGAACGACGGACTTGCCTTGAGGCGAGTTTCCTCGCCGTAGTACATTGGCCCCGCGTATGCCGTAGCCCATGGTCTCGTCATCCTCCTCCCCGGTAAGCTTCCGATACCCCGAATCGCTATGGATGTCAACTTCATTCGTCGGCCTCATCCGAGGGAAGGTGATACGTTTCGGGCTGCTGATCAGCTTTCGCGTCACAGCATTCAAACGTCTGACTTGCTGATTGGTGGGCTCTTGAATTTTCTGAAGAGAGACCACGTATACCATGAGCCAGATTTGGGTAAGAAGGGCATAGGCGAGGGCTCCTCGCAGGCTGACGAACATGTCGGTAATGAGTTTCGTGGCTTTGGCATCGGCCGCCGCTCCTTTAAGTTCTGGGTGTGTGATGGGACGTAGTTGTTTGATATACTCGTCCTGGTCCATGATCACATCTCCTTGATCATTCTTAGTGTAGCGAACGGCGCAGTTCGTATATGTGTGCTTGTTGAGCTTGCATTTGCCAAACACCTTTTCGACACGTTGTACATAGTCGTCTATATTTTTCTCTAGACCTGTCATGTTAATATCATCGGCATGTTTTGCCGTCAGAAGGTCTTGGCTGAATTCAAATTCAGGATCGTAGCTGGTCGGTGCAAGTCCTATAGCTCGTGTGGTCGTACGAAGTTTGAGAGAGAACGCTCTTGGAGCGTCCTTTGTACCCGTTCCTGGTTTGAGGCATCTAAGACAGTGTCGACTTTCGTCGTAGGATGAGAAGCCGGGTAATGTACGAAGTACCTGAGCACTTCCTGGTGGAAGAGTAAAGCAAACCATGCGAGTTTCCTCGCCGGTGGCATGGGCAAGTTCCTCATAGGTCAAGCCCTTGAGGAACGCCTTATCGATATCCATGGATGCTAAGATCCACTCTGGATGGCATGCCGCTTCACTTGCCAGGAGTCGTTGGGACTGCCTTCGGGCGGTTCCCGAGAATGTTTCCACATCAAAAGCCTCAGTATCCATAAATCCACGAAGGACCAGTCTGAGACGAATGGTTTTAACGTTCTCGGTACCCATCTTTACGAACTTCCACTTGTATACATACCTGGATGTCATGATGTTGGAAGCTTTGGATAAATCATACATCTCAAAGAATCGGTTATCAATCCAGATTTTGAGCTCAGTATACAAAGCTGCACTAACCTCCTTTGGATGTGCTGCTATGTCGGCTTTGGTCAGTAGATCATCTTCTTTGACAACCACAGCACGTTTAGCAGCAGAGGATACATATACTCTCATCGTTGCGACCATATCGGTATCGAGCTGTGCAAGTTGAGTCTGATCCAACACTATTTTTGTCATTTCTGATGTAAAGCATAATTCAACGTAAGGACCATATTCATCACTGTCAAGAGAGTAGCTCTCGTCGGTTGTGGTTGAACAAAGAGAGACTAGACAGGACTCACGTGATTTCGGCTCGTCTCCGAGCATATCTGATGATATAATATCATCTTCGTCCATAAATGCTGAAACCAAAACACATTGGTCGGGCAGCATAGTTGTTGGGACGCAATAGAGATAATCATCGGTAATCGTCGTAGGATGAAGGTCCATACGTAGCTCGTCGTACCACTCTTCCAGCATCATAGCTTCGATATTGTGTTCCTCATTTTCCTCATAGATTGTCGACAGACGGCCTTCACTCGGCGATGAAGCATCTGGTGTGTCTGGAGAAGGTCTGTTTCCAGGCGACTCGTGTTCTCCAGACGCGTTGCTTGAATGCTGATATCTAACCAGATCGTCGTGAAAGCCTAAGGAAGGGACACGTGAAGTCAAGCATTGAATAAGTCTGGAGTGAGTGCTACCAGTAATCTGAGAAATGTTTAAGCCGGTGCCCACACATTCGTAGTAGTGGAACGCCGGGCTGATGTCGTTGTCATAGTGGATCAGCGTAGACCCGGTGGCGTACTTTACTGCAGGTAGGCTTGACACACTCTTAGCCAATCGAACTGCTACTGCATGTTCTACTCGGAAGTAATTTCGTACGAGATACTGTAGTGCTAAGTGTACGCGCGGGTGAAACTTGCTGTCGTCTGACAGATTAAGGTTTCCCTTGTAATCGGGAATATAACCGAAAACGCTGGCAGGTTTCCCTGCGCTGAGGTGTGCCACATAAGCAAGGACGGTTTGCGTGGCCATATTATCTATGCCAAGTTCCCGTGTGAGGAGACATTCGATGTATAGTGTGTGACGAGCATCAGGATACATCACAATTACCTCACGAGATCCTGCCTTGACAACAATATGTCCTCTTTCAAGCACATTTCGGATCACCGGGAATGGGCCATTCCAGCCTCCACGGTCGTCCTTGGTGGCAGTAGGTCGGTGGTAATCGACCAAATCCCCTGATGAGTAGAGGCGAGCACCATCAGGAGTCGTCTTAGCCCTAAGAGCCCGATTTGTCTTGGCCACAGCAGTAGCCTGAATTATAGCTTCTAGGCTGACTTCCCTCACACGACGTTCTCGTTCGCGTCCTGAAGTCTCGGGTCCCTTGGGAAAGTCGAGGGTATCAAGATCAGGGAGGAAAGAAGGCTGACGTCCTGTGTGTGCCTGATGTGGCGATACTCCGTTATAAAACGTAAACGCATTAGTAACGAAGATGCCTTCCGCCAATACTCTAGTGAA